TGACAGTAGAATCTTCAGTTGACAGTTTAATCTTCAGTTTGACAGTAGAACCATCAGCTGACAGTAGAATCTTCAGTTGACAGTTTAATCTTCAGTTTGACAGTAGACCCTTTAATGAAATTTGTTCTTCGATTAATATCGAACATAGTTTCATGTGAAATAAAGAGCACGTAAATGTTGATATTCATCAGGGATGTTTGGTGTGAACAAATTATATCTACAGCAAGAGTTAAGTTAGTTCCTCGCACTTTACTAACTACACATATTCATTCTTTTAATCGAGCAGGAACCTAAAATATTTCTTATGGGGCAATATAAAATTCAGACACTATTCTTTATATGATTAACTTGTTGGTTTCAACAAAGTGATTGCAGGAATAGTTGAAAACAAGAGTTTTGTGGAATCTAGACCACTACCTTTGCTGTTTCTGTTAATCTATTTTTTCGTTTGATTTGTTACTCCTAATGAGAAAGGTTATATCGACAAATTGGCAACAATAAAATAAGTGGTGTGCTAATTTTTTTTTTTCACTGAGACACTCGTTCAAGAAACGAACTGTGCTAAAATGATTGAAACTTCTCTTAGTGTATAAGTGCCCGGATGACAAATAATTGCAACTCCTAATTACGTCTTCTTTAACGTCAGCCTTGCAAGGTCTTTGTACGATTAAACTAATACTGTCGGCTTATTAAGCTTAAATCGGATGACTTAAAAGTTCTTCTATTCTATTTAATTAAGTCATTTTTTATTATTTTAAACAATTTCATTCGAGATTGAATTACGAAAACTGGTAATGTCAAAAACAGCAAGTAAATATTTTAGTTTTTATCGTCGTATCTAGTGGAAATAGATTTTGTGTATGTAATCTAAAAAATTAACAAAATTCTAGAACTTTTTCTGCTTTAGCTTGTTGTCATTTTCAGGATCATTAACGTCTATGCACACAGCTTGCGAAGATAGTTTCAAGTACAGCTCTCAAGATTAGATTAAACGTATAGCTTAGCTAGTAGAGAAATGCCATTAGAGAGAACCAAACGTAAAACTTAAGTCAAAACGGATTTCGTCTTATGTTTCGTGACAGCTGTAAAAACAAAACTTTTATCATATGTCTTATTATACTGTAAAAACAACAACAACAACAAAACTTGTGTTACAAAAGAATACAACTTTGGTTTTATTGATCACAAGTATAGTGTTTGAATGGCAGCAACACAAGCTCGTGTTAAGAACAACACAACCATTGTGGATTGACAAAACACAACACAAATGTGTTGGCTGAACGTTGATCAAATCGGAATGTGTCATAACAATGTGACTTCACAGCATAATAGTATGAATTGTAAATTGACATATAACGATTTATAAGCATAATGAAGTGATTTCATTTTGGGGAACGTAGTACAAAAGACATATAAATATTCCATCGAAACATATAGCATGTTCTCCAAAATAAAACCTCTTCATTATACTAATATATCGTTATTTGCCAAGTGACTATTATGCTAGCGTAATGTGCTTCCACACACACAAAATCACAATAGTGTATTTAAATAAGCACAATTTCGACATAAAAAACCTCTCTTCATTTATGCCAGAAAAGACAAAACGTTTGTGTGATTATAGTTTATAGATTTCTGTGTTTGGAGATCTCAATCTGTGTTGTTGGGAAATAGCACAATGTAAATTTATAGTGGAACTTTTTTTTTACTGTGAAGTTTCTTACTTATTCGATCCCAAAATGAGCGACGTGAAATATAATGTGTTGGTACGTAACGTGAGTAAACGTTCACGAAACACAAAATTAAGACTCCTGTTCCATTGATACATATATATTGTCTCCTTCTTTCACTCCAAATTTTTCTCACTTTAATCTGTCTTTCCCTTATCTTCGTCTCTTCTTTTACTTACAATTGTCTTTACAATATTTCCATTACATTTCTTTCACTTTAATTGTTTTTACTTTATCTCCATCTGTTTTGTTTATCAATGCTCTCAATGCCTTTACCCTTTCTCAGTTACATTTATCTTTATTTCTGTAACTCTGTCTACACATTTCTCTCACCCAAATCTCTCTGAATGAACTTTTCATTCACTTTGTTTTTCACACGTTTTTTACTAAACGCACATTTTTTGTGCTTTTTTTAAAAATCATAATTTGTTCTCTTTATATATACATCCATATTTTTCGTGAGTTCGACTCTCTGGCTGAAACATTTTCCTTGTTTCGATTCTCTATTTTTGTCTTATCGTTTCCTTCATACTTCTGTTTATTACAAATAATTCGGTCACAACTTGCTGTTTAGGTTATTTTCCTTCCAATCTTTCACACTTTCATTATATATATTCACTGTCATAAAGTTTCTTTTAACCGTCTGTGTGTTCTATTTTTCTGAGTATTCCTTCCTATTATTCAGGATTGCTACTTCTCTTTGCTTTTGTCTCCTTACGACTTGTTTATCGTTTCTTGTGACTCTCAGTGCTGCTCATAACAGCCATTTAATCGATTCCTGATCCTTAAAAAAAACGTTGATTCTGTTTTAAAATTCTGATGTAATGAGATTCTAAATTTGTTTAGAGTATAAGAGTTTAGAGCAAGAACTGTTTGGTATTAGTCTTTTTTTTTATTGATTTATCGATGGCCATGTTTCCTGGGGGAACAGTGTGACGTAATCACGTTGCAACAACTAAGATCCGTGTATCATTTGCGTGGTGTCTCATGAGTGGTTTACGTCGTTTGGTTCTACGTCATGACAGGGGTCACCGAAGCATCAAAAGGAATAAAGCTTATATAAGCCTTTTATGGTTTCGTAGCACGACACTCGTTACGACAAATAAAAAAAAAGGTAAATCCGTTTACCTCCTTTTAAACCAGAGAGGCACTCCAATTGATCATTTAGTAACCTCTCACTAACTCAGAGCTAAAATGAATGTTTTCAGACAACGTGAAAAATAATACGGTGGTACATAACTCCATGAATTGTTCACCTCAAATAAACTTCAAATTTCTATACTATCTATACGTAATACGTCTTATATTCGTCTCTCTGACTTACATTTCTCAAAACCCGTATTTCGTCTTTTTATCACCTCCTTTCTAATTAAACATTTCTCTCACTTACACTTCTCTTTACTTATCCATTTTACTTCCTCGTGTTATCCATATTACCCTTGCCTAACTCCTCAGGTTTTTCATGATTCATACATTGTGTTATCAGTATTCCTTAGAACTCCGATTAATTATCTTTATGCATCACATTAACTTATACTTATGATTAATCATACATTATGCTATCCCTGCCTTCAAATTGGTATTACGTTTCCTTGGTACTCGTATTATCGAGTTTTACAGCATGTACTACCTATACTTCCACTTCAGCTTACCCGGGGTGTACCTAGGGTAAATAACACCTATTAGGAAATATTTGTATATATTAATACATTGGCGCGTCGCCGCAGAAAATAACTGGCGTGCACAGACAACGTGTTTTGCACCTTATATTTGGTTCAAAGTAACTTTCTTACTTTAACAGTGTAATCCCGTCATAAGTGACTTATGTCTGGAGGATAATGTCACAGCCTTTATCGAGGGCACATCAATTTCAAAAACAACTACCTATTTTAACAAAGTTAAGTGTCGTAAAGGGACGAACAGCACAAAAATGTAAGATAACCTAAACACTCTACCACCACACGCGAGACTGCTGTCAAAGATCACAAACAGGTTGTTCTGAAACCACACTCACCCAACAAGAAAGTGGTCGTTAATCTGTTGGCAATTCCCGATTAACTGTGTACAAAATGATGCACAAAAACCTTGTTCTTTCTTACAAAGGAGTATAAACCATTAGTACAACCCAGAAGGGTGAACATGCTCAAGTAGTTAGTGTGCTTGGACTGTAGCTCTAATAGTTCACGGATCACATCCTGTTGCCACAAAAACACACTACGAACTTTGGAACCGTCGGTGCCTTATAAGAGGGGCTGTCAAATTTCATTATTCAGTCAGACAAGAGTAGACCAAGAGTTGGCGATGAGTGCTGTTGACTAGCTGCCTTCTCTTTAGTCTATCAGTTAAAAATTAAAGGCGGCTTTGCACAGTTAGGCCTTTTATAGCTTTGCGTAAAAATTCGAAAAACAAAAATGGTCTCCAGATACGTTGGTGAAAAAACAATAAGCTGTAGAAAACTGTTTAAGAAATACCATACGCTTGAAAGGTGAGAATTTATCGCTACACCGCACAAGACAAATGTAATACAGGACCAGGAATATCTTACCTACAAATTGCGACTAAAACACCAATCCTCAGACTATTCGTTTTGTTTTTATACCGCAAACTTCCCACGATTTAAAGCTCAAATTATTTGTGCTTTTCTACTCGTATTCCCCATAATGTGAATTAGTAGATTAGCGAGAATACTTTTATTGGACACCAAAGTTTGCAAATAAAACATCTGATTTGTATATCTTTGTACTTTGTCGTAGAATGGATAAATGTCACATTCTTAAAACAATAGACAGATTTCGATGTCGTGTAATTTACATGTGTAGTTACTTTAAAACAAAAACAAAAAATCTTATTGGCTTGTCGCTTCCAGATACAAATACATATACTGTTAGTAAAACTGCTCTGCTACAGTGACCTGTAACCTATAATTTACCAACTATCTCGATTATCGTACTATATCAGTTAATTTCTCATGTGGAGACTGTTTGCTTACAAAGATAATATGTCACAGTTTACTGACATTATAAATTAACGTACTCGAGAATATATATAGGCCTATATTACAGTTTTTACTATAAGATATTGATATATATTTTATTAATAAAACAATGTTGAAAAAAAATGATTGAAGCCATTATATTGACCTCTAACAAAGCAAATAATGACTCGCGTGCAAAAAAAGATAATTAAACTAAAGCACTCTTTCCCCTTCTGATAAAATGTCAGAACAACTTGTAATTGAGTTGTATTATTTTTCTTTTCTTTACTCGACAGATTTTGATAACTCAAGTACCAAACTTCAGAGGGCGATATCGTGCGACAGTGTTAGCTCTGATACGTCCGTTGTATTAGAAACAATGGAATCACCTCAGAACAATGGTGAACTGGAAATAGGGTTTGAATACGATAGGTAAAACGTTTTATTCAAAGTCATTGTTCTATATCTAGTTTATTAGTGAAAAATGTATTACAAGTAGATTGTACTTACATATTTTTTCCATAGTTTTAATTCTTTGTGGTATTTGAAGCTGTGTAGTTTTACGTCATTATGAAATTTGTATAAAAACTAAATTGATTATTTGATCTTAACAATGGAATATGATGCTAGAAAGTTATAAAACGAAAAATGAAAATTCATGAATAAGTATAAAAAGTGAGTGTAACAAAATTAACAAAAACAAATGTACTTATCTATTTTCAAGCTCTTATTTTTTCTCTTTTAAATAAAAAAATTTTTCAACTTATAACATTATGTGTCTTCCAGTAACAAAGCGATAAGCTTGAGGAATTATAATATTAAAATCCGGGGTTCGATTCCTCGCAGTGGAAACAGCACTAATAGCCCATTGTGTAGCTTTGTTCTTAACAACAATAGGCCCGGCATGGCCAGTTGGTTAGGGCGGTCGACTCGTAATCTGCAGGTCGCTGGTTCGAATCCCCGTCACACCAAATATGCTCGCTCTTTCAGCCGTGGGGGCGTTATAACGTGACTGTCAATCCCACTATTCGTTGGCGGTGGGTGGTGATGACTAGCTGTCTTCCTTCTAGTCTTACACTGCTAAATTAGGTATGGCTAGCGCTGATAGCCCTCGTGTAGCTTTGCGCGAAATTCAAAACAAACCAAACTTAATAACAAATACGTTCATTTTTATAAGTTCCATTTATTGAAGTCTAAAATATTGTAGGAACCTGGATATGATCAGGTTTACTTAACATCGATTTATCCATTTTTTTACTCAAATAATTTATGTAAATACAACTCATAACTTTGCATATTGTAATTTAAAGAAATTTGTAAGATTAATTAAACTACTGATCATTAAATACTTTTTTTAAATTTGACTTTAATTCATTTGTTCGGAATTGTTCTCTCCTATGTCTCAGCGGTAAGCTTGATGGCGTATAACGCTAGAATTCTAGGTTCGACCCATACAGGGAGCACAGTACATATAGCCCATTGTACAGCAAACAGTATCGGAATTCTTTCGCTTTCCTAATAAGTTGTTCATTTTATTTACTTGCGCTATCTAAGCTACAGTCTTTATTTTTGTTGTATAAACAATCGTCCAATAATATGCATAATACATACTAGTATAATATGTGTTTCAGTGAAACTGAAGATCTTATCGTCATCGTTAACCAAGCACGGGATCTGGTTGGACCAAACCCTAACGTTGCTGTTGATAGCTACGTCAGAGTATTCCTGTTACCTGATAAAACAACAAACATGCAGACACGGGTAAGGCTTATAAAATAACACATAAAACGTAGTGTCCTTATTACATTTAGACTATCTTAGTACACATCTTGTGGTAGTGCCAGGTTTTTGAAATCATAAACTAATTAGCGGCCAATACGGTGGTTATTAAAAATAATCTGTTATATAGATTAAATTAATGTATAAGAGAAAAAATCACAATGTCAATGACTATGATATCGTTTTAATGAAAGTATAAATCGACGCAGACATTAAGTACAAATATGAAGACCATATTTCTAATAATATAAGCAGTTCTAACATATCTACAAGTAAAGAAAAACTTTTCAAAAAAGGAAGTAAATGTAGGGATGGTTAATATCAATTCTTCAAAAACAATGCAAACAAGATAGTAGGGATGGCATTTGCCTCATTCCTACATAATAGCACAGGCAAGAATTAACATATAGCAATATATATATATATATAACTATTCTATTACGTTGTAGACAAGAATAGGATAAATTAAACTCAGTTGTGATTGAATAGTTATATATGTATTACTATATGTTAATTGTTGCCTGTGCTATTATGTAGGGATGATGCAAATGTCATCCCTACTATCTTGTTTTTGAAGAATTGATATTAGCCATCCCTACATTTACTTCCTTTTTTTGAAGAGTTTTTCTTTACTTGTTTCCTTGTTTTTTAAATGCAGTGTTCCAAATGTAATACTTATCGTTCATCTATTATTGGCTGGTCATTCCTGTTTCACCTTGTACTTAAACTTTTTAAAGGAACAACAAATTTCTGTAAGAAAGCTAACTGTAAGGGTAATGATAACATTGTTTACACTAGAATTATGACATTTAAATTACTACTAGTTATTAACAATGCTTATAAAAGCAGATACTCTGTTTAAAACTATGTCACCTCAGTGAAATTGGTTGACACCATTGTTTTGGTTTTTGAGTTGTCACGTAATAAAAAAAGAAGCAGAAGAAAGGAGAACAAGAAATTCAAACTTTTTTTTTTGCTACGATATTTACAGACATTCCCAGAACTTGTGACTCAATCATTACATATAAAAGGAAACATTTTATAGTTTGATTACCTATTGAAGAGATATTTAAAATACCATTTCGATAAATAAATTAAGCCATTCCCTACCTGATATACATACATTTTAAAAATGAACCGATTTAAATTATGTTTTTACTTAATGCTTAGATAATACTTTAAATACTTTAGTAATAATCTGGATTCATTCATGTCTTTAGAAACAAGTTATTTCCCTGGTAGTAGCTACTGAGAATTTTCAAAACTCTCAATACAATATTAACAAAGGAAGATTTCGTGTTTGTTTGTTTTCACAATTACAGGTTCAAAGACGTACGAATGATCCAATTTTCAAAGAAAGGTTTCTGTTCGGTGTCGACAGTCGAGAACTCAGTCAACGATCGGTGCTTTGTTACGTTTATACATCAGACAAATACACAAACACTTTAATAGGAGAAACAGAAATAAAGCTAATAGATATTGACCTCACAAAACCCCACTTACGTTGGATGCCCATCATAGATTCAAATCAAGTAAGTTCTAGATGGGTAACTTAAAACTATTAACTTGTTAAAATGTATATGTATACATTGGTGTTTACGCTAATTCCAAGTTCATTTTATGATCAAAGCAGTGGTGTTGATATATACGAAGTTGATATTGGATTCTACTCAAAAATATATTTGACAGACATTCTTCTCTGGTTTTTCTTATGAACATTCTTCTTTTATTCGTTTTAGTTTCATAGTTTTACCTTGTATGCAAAAGTAGAAATACAAAAATATCAGTTTTCAGTCGTTTCATATGAAACACTTTAAAAGCGACATAGTTTCGGCATAACGTTTCGGACAAACTAATTTCCATTATCGAAAAAACAAAAAATAAATCAAACAATTTATTGTGGAAACAGATTGTGAAAGAATCTGGTTTTGATATAAGCTTTTGAACCACATGAACAATTTTGAAATGAACATAAGTAATACCAGAAAAGAAAGTTTGCATTGGATGTCAATCTTCATCTTCATCGTGTAAGATTAGAGCCTGCTTTTGTAAGTATAATTTGAGAAATCGTGTTACCAATTTTATTAAACTTGTTCCTTAATTCGGTGGTAATTGAAAGTAAAACAGATTAATATGAACTTTTCTTCTAAGTTAAAGTTTGTTAATAAAGTTATGAAATATTTCGGACAGCTATTTCAGCCGAAAATGTTGAAAAAGGTTCAGCTCAATAGTATTGTTTTTACTGTTGTTGTTAGAAAAGTCTGCTTTACAAATCTAAACATGGATTGACCTTCTTAATTAAAGAGTACTCTCCCAACAGAAAGCAGTAATAGCTATATAAACTGTGACTAGATGATATTTGTCATGTTTTAGTACCTTGTACGATCACATAAGTCTAATCATTAATTAATACATTTTTTATCAATTCACTATCTGAATGTTTTAAAGGAGGGTGTACAGCTTTGGTTGACTTCTTTGCCAGGGTCCCCAGTGGCACAGCTGTATGTCTGCGGACTTACAACGCTAGAAACTTGGTTTCGATACTCGTGGTGGACAGAGCACAGATAGCCCATTGTGTAGCTTTGTGCATAATTACAAACAAACAAACTCCTTTGCCAGTTTTACTGAGCCTGTTATCAGTTACGTTTATGTAAAAGTCTTCTTTTTTCTTTCTTCTCCCAGTGTGTCGTTCATATCCTATTATTTTACTAGTATTCCAATTCATCTCTGGCAAGTTGGACTATTGCAGCTATATCAATATTATTGAGTCTCGTATGTTTATTATGCTCATTAATTCTAACTATTCTCGTTGTTTAGTCTCTCTAGTGTGAATCCACATTTACAGAGGGTGGTTTAAATGTGCTTTTTCCCCCTCTCTGTTGTGTCTTTAAGTAATTTGATAGTATTGTGTTATGGCTTCTGTTTAGACTGTACTCTTCCCATTTCCTGTGTTTAGAAGTTAGTATATGGCAATTTTCTTCTTGTCTATTTTTAATGTTTTCTTTCTTTGTGTTTTCTTTATCAGTTGTTCCTGGTATTTATCAATTGTTCCTGATATCTAGCCCCCCACCCCCCCAGGGGCACAGTGGTATGTCTGCGGACTTACAACGCTAGAAACCGGTTTTCGATATCTGTGGTGGCCAGAGCACAAATAACCCATTGTGTAGCTTTGTGCTTAAATTCAAACAAACAAACAAACAAACAAACCTGATATCTATTGTTAAAGAAGGTTGTATGGTTATAGTGATTTTTCCTTCTTCTTTTCTTAGGTATTCCAAATCCTGTTCATTCTGGAAACCAGGCAGTAGGATGGAGTGAATTTTTCACTTAAAACATTTTTTCTGAATCTTGATTTCCCATAGTGAGGAAAGGTTTTCAGATAAGACACATAGTAATCCTGAAACGTTTCATTCATATCGGGGATTATCTTGTTGTGCCCCAAGAAGCTGGAAGTATGTGATAAACATAATTTACATCTTACGGCATTTTTCATGCAGCTCTTCGCTTGTTTCAACAATTATTCATTGAAACAGCCCAGAACTCACCACGAGGAGGTGGCTGTATATCGAGTTCCACCCGTACCCATCCCATCCACCCAATCTTTTGAGCACTTCAGGTCCTGTTTACTGTGAGATACGATATTCGTTTTTTGATTCAAATGAGGGCATCAACTATCGGGATTGCACCCTTGCGCGTAAGTATCCATCCCTTGAGTCTTGTCCACAAACAGCACTTGATGCTTCAGTCACAAGTTTAATACATCTTTCGACAGCTTGGCTATGATATGGAAACTATGCAGTTTTAAGCAATGGCATGTCTTTTATTTCACCACAAGTTCGAATTCATTATTTGAAAGTTTCATTGTTAAAGATGACTCAGTCAAAGTGCAATGTTGCCAATCAATTAATCCTACATAGTCATCTGCATCAAACCTAAGTGGCGGTATTTTAAATTGTCTTAATCCTGATGGCTTTTGTCTTCTTGATCTCCTGATTCTTAGTCCTAGCTTCTACATATGTTTTGGTCATCTGTAATCATGGCTAAGAGAATGTTTTCCGGTGACCAAAAAAAAGGCAATCCTCCGTATAACCGTATACACTATTCTATGTTTGAGTTATTCACTATTTAACGTGAGAAGGACAGTAGTCTTCACAGATGTTTAGCACCATCTGTGCATGCTGGATTGGTTTTGATTGCAAACCATGTTGGAGCATATACTTTCATTACGTATTGAACAAGAGTCTGTAGGTTGATTGACAGTTCTTCAGTTGCCACATATAGACGAAGAAGTATATTTGCAGCTGTTATCCATGGTGCACGAGATAGTCTACTAGGGCTCTTCCTTATCAAATCCACTAAGCACTGGCCACTTGCAATGGTTTGGACCATATCCAACAGGTAGAGCAAATCTGTACTTAAATCTGTGGTATCAACTAATGGTGACTGAACTTCGACTTTTTGTAACATAGCTTTAGGGAGATTTTCAGAACCTTCCACACTTTTGCCAATGGGACCTGAATAGCTCTAACGTCTTTCAGCGTGTCCTTCAAGATGTTGCACAAGATGTCGCAGTACTAGCTCAGTAGCATGAAGTTGACATACTAGCCATTGCAATGGTTTCCTAAAATGTTCTTCTAGTAGTCGGATGACTCCCCACCCTTGGTCTAGTATTTACTGGAGTCCCATCACATCCAATAGCTACTATTTCTTCAGTATTTAAATACCTCGATCCAGGTTCCTCATGTAGTGCTAAATGCTTCTCCGTAACTGTTGTTTTGTAAAAATTTGTCACCATTTTTTTTCTTGCTTCAGAGTTTTGTCTTTTCGGCATTCGAAGAATAGGCTTTAAGGACATACTTCATCTAAATATTTTCTTTGTAATTTAGCTCTATTTTTAAGTCGTCCCCGTCGTACTTTATTCTTTTCTACAACTTTAGAACTATTCTGTTTTGTAATTAGTCCTACATCTTCCATAATTGCACTATCGATTGTAGAAACTGTTCTTTCAGACACTCCTGTCCTGTCGCTTGCTCCTGCAAACGCTGTTAATGGCAGCCTCGTTTGAGATGTTTTTTTCTCGCCTTTTGATGATGAAGGCCTTTGTTCATCACCAGTTTCCACAGCTCTCTGCAAATAGTACTTGGGCAAAACATAGTCATTATCGGTATCAGGTTCAGGGAGAGTTTCATTATCACATGGTTCATCATCATCACATTTTGTCTCGGTTGTATTGTCTGGGTTTTGTCCAGCATCTTTATCACTTTTCACAGAGGGAAGTAATGCTTTGGATTTTATTTTATCCATTTCTTGGAGTTTTTCATGGTAGTAGTGTCGACTGAGCCTATAATCATGTTTATGTCACTTCTTTGATCTAAGAGGAAGGCCTGTCCTCTCTTTGGTACTTTGTGATCCTTAGCACAATCACACAAAGAAAAATCTGAACACTTACAGGAACAAATGTCGAAAACATATTTTGCTGCTTGTTCTTGGAATTCTTTGAGTTTGGCTTTGTAAGTGTCACTTTGCCTGCTTTTCATTGATTTCATAAGTGTTCTGTCTTTATCTTGATAGCTTCTAATCTTTTGCAAAACCCGATCATGACTCACAACAGGCAATGAAGCTTTCACCCATACCTTCTCTAGATCTCGAGCAACTGCCTGTGATATTTCTTTAACAAAGAGTTATTTTGCGTCCTTCTTTGCCTTTATGTTGAGATGAACTAAGAGGTAATACTACATCACATCTTGATAGGTTGGTAACATATGATAATCTAGCTCCTTAGATGTATCAAAAATGGGACACGTTGTTTTGCTCCAAGTTCTCACTTCCTGAGCCATAGTGTCAGAACTATTGTATTGATCCACAAACTTAGTGCCACTGTCACTTTCGCACAAGAAATTTAGTGTTACTTGAAATCAAAATAGCATCTAGTAACATATAACACAACTATAGCATCAAGTAAGAAGTTGAATAAGCAATGTAATGAATTAATTGAAATAATGTACCGAATTAATTTGTATTTATATAGTGAAAAATGATGGGAAAAATGAAACTTGTATTTAGATTGTATTACTTTAAACTTGTATTGTATTTCTCTAAGATGAGAAAATAACCACTCCTGAAGCAGGATTCAAGACCTACCAGTATGTACCTATATAGTTTATATCAACCAAATACAATGGAATAAAGTAGCATTCCATTAGAAAATGTCCCCATATAATTTCTATGGAAAATCTGTATAATAAAATGCTACAGTATTAAAGAATGTTGGGGCACCATAGAATAATTTTCAATTTCAATAATATTTTACACAATTAGTAGAGGCAACATGAGGCAACTTTTCCACACTACTGGAAATTAACTTTCGAAAAAAAAAATTTTTCGACCCACCCTACTGGGCAGTTTATTAGGCTTGTCTTTACACTTTTGGGGTGGTTTGATTTATATTATGTATGCGAATGGGCGTATTTGTGGATGCGGTATTAAGTTTTATTTCATTTTTGTCTTTTTTACTGCTTTTAAGCTGTTCTCCTATGAATATATTTGATAAAACGGACAGAGAATGCCTTTCTTGACAACATTTTATATTCTATTCTCTCTATACCTAATCAGCAACTTGAATCCTTTTGTTAATTCTCCTCTTTAAACAAAATCAACACTGACGTTATCTATATAATTGAGTATTTTACAAATAATACAAATATCCTACGTAGTTAATAGTTGTAATGTAATTAAAACTTTGTTTTTTTTCTGCCTAGAAACCAACAGATCTCGGTGACGTCATGTTCTCGTTGAGTTACTTGCCGACAGCAGAAAGACTGACGGTGGTAATGGTCAAGGCAAGAAATATAAAGTTTCCAGCTGGTCAGGAAACTGGATGTAAGTTATTAAAAATGAAACATTGAAAGAAATAAAGAACTGTATCTTAGTTGTTGCATGGTTTCAAATTAATAGTGTAAAACGTCATGTTTGTTCTGTCAATGAAACTGTTAAATATAGAAGAGAAGATGACATTTTTATTTATTTAGGAACAGAAAAGGGTGTCATTCCTTTTAAAGTCGTTAT